ACCTACTCTAACTGTAGTATTGAAAAATACTGTTTTATAATGTCGCAAAATATATCAGGTAACAACAAAATCTACAAAATAATAATCAAGCCAAAAAATCCGTGCGCCAATGAACAGAACGTCAAATTGTGAAATCGCCACAGAACACCATGAAATTGCACGGAAAAAAAAGTAATTTTAGCAAACAGAAATCAGTTTTGATAGCAATTGAGACAGGGTACGTTCAGAATCAAGCTGTCTGCGAGTCACTTTTCGCTAAAATTGATGGTTTTCCCTGCAAGGTGAAAAAACTGTTTTCCTCACTTATTTGTTTAAAAAGAAAAGTTAGCTAATAAAAGTTTTTGACTCACGAGATGAGAGATGTCTTGTATTATGTTCCTTTAGACAATTTTACAATAATATCGCGGATAGGACTTTTTTCAAGTTTCTCTTTTATTTTCGTTAATTTTCCTGGTGTAAACATACATGTAGATTTATCAGTCATAAGTGCAATATATAACTGAATATACTGATGTAGGGCATTAGCAGTATTTTTTTCAAATCAAATGATGTTGAATCATCTTGCAATCAATAGCATTTTATCTGTCGAAGTGCCCTCTCTTCAAGTTCTGGGTTTCCTTACTATATCTGTCGACATTGTCTCAACATAGAATTTGCGAGGATTAAATTCGCAGATTTACAGGGGAACGGTCACTTATTCCTTTCGAAGTAATAATTGAAATTATTCATTGTCCACCATGTACATTGGAGTATTACATACTGAATACTGAATATTGTTGGGTCTTATAAAGATCCCCTGAAAGTTTCATTTCAAACAATCCAAGACCTTTTATTCGTTGACTATTTAGTATTATGTGAAATTATGTTCAGTGTTTGTATTTTTTAAATACTGAGAAATGTAAACGATAGTTCTAACATGAAAATTAATCTATTGTTCACACAGCATGACAGTGTTGTGCACATATATTGTAAATGTCACACTTGTTATCTGCATGCTATTTAAATGTGGAAAAATCAATGAGTTGCATACTTTTTAAGGATATTTATTGCGATAATGACAGATATACAGGGTGATCCATTAACGGTATCGAGTGGCTGTATATAGAAAACTAGGCGTGCTACGATTATGGGGTAAAAAATTTATTAACAAATATGACCAAAAGAAATTGATTTAAAATATTTTCAAGTTTGTAACTTCACCGCTAGGGGGCGAACTGCTATAGTGTTACAGAAAATTGTCAGTTTTTCGAAATTTCGCTTATATAACCTAAGTTGCAAATACATTTTTTAGATACACTGTTAAACCCTTCACAAGATTTGTTAGAACTTTTTTTTTGTTATTACCATAGCAACGTCAGTATGAAGGACGCTATCTTGAAATTTTTAGATTGTCATAACTTCTAAATGCCTTAATCGCTTTCAATATACTAAGGCTCATTTTAAAGAACTATTAAAAAAATTTATTTTTATGATATTGGCTTGAAAATATTATTTTCCTGTGTAGACGACGCTAATGAGAAAAGTTTTGTAATTTTCTCTACTAAAAAAATTAAATGCAACGATATAGGATTTTTTTCATGGCATGATAGACCATTCATTATGGAAAACAAATACACAAACCAGAGGTCGATATCTTTTTTCGATTTCAAGTTATTGTTAAAAGAGTGAGGTTGTGCTAGAACATCCTCCTTTATTTAGTTCTCTAAGTAACATTGAACTAATCCAAGCCAAAACTAAATTGTAAAACTATACCAATCTTGTCCTTAAAAAGAATTATTGTTTTATTTTGATATTTTTTTGATAACTGCAATATTTCATTTTTTTATTAATTGCAAATATCTGAGTAATTATAAAGAATATTGTTTCTATAACGAGGCAGGCTATGCCCGATGAAAATAGACAACTGAAAAATTATTTCAAACGAAATGTGATAGCTCTTGCTATGTGCAAAATTAGTGTTATTTGTGTTGGAAAAGTACTTGTGAACAAGGAAAATGCCTTTTACGAATGTGGAAGCGTATGATATGTTGGCAGTTTAATTTCAATGTTTGAAAAATGCCGTTATAGCTTCAAGAGAATACGCTTTGCGATACCCTCGTAGAATACGCTACTCCAGAGAAGTATTTCAGCTTTTATCCATACGCCACTACATTCTGTAAGAAGATATCGCCGTGCAAGAACGGAAGACAATATTATTAATATGTTGGCTTGTGTCCATGTAAATTCCCAAATAAGTCTAAGGGAATTAGTTAGAGACCTGGGAATTTCATATAGAACACAAGTACTTTTCTCACACGAATGACACTAATTTTGCACGAAGCAAGAGCTGACACATATCGTTTGACATAATTTTTTATTTGTCTATATTCATAGGACATAGTCTCCTTCGTTATGGAAACAATAATCTTTATAACTACTCAGATATTTGGAATTAATACAAAAAATGAAATATTGCAGTTATCAAAAAAATTTCAAAATAAAGCAATAATTCTTTTTAAGGACAAGATTGGTATAGTTTTACAATTTAATTTTGGTTTGGATTATGTCAATGTTATTTAGAGAACTAAATAAAGCAGGATGTTCTAGTACAACCTCACTATTTTAGCAATAACTTGAAAATGAAAAAAGTTATTGACCTCCGGTTTGTGTATTTATTTTCCATAATGAATGGTCTATCAAGCCATGAAAAAAAACCTATATCGTTGAATTCAATTTTTTTTATTAAACGGAGACAATTACAAAACTTTTCTCATTAGCTTCGTCTACCGTTGCACAGGAAACTAATATTTTCATTCCTATATCATAAAAATAAATTTTATTAATATAGTTCTTTAAAATGAGCCATCGTTTATTGAAATCGATTAAGGCATTTGAAAGTTATGACAATTTAAAAATTTCAAGATAGTGTTCTTCATACTGACATTGCTATGGTAATAACCAAAAAAAAGTTCTAACAAATCTTGTGAAGGGTTTAACAGTGTATCTAAAAAATGTATTTTCAATTTAGGTTATATAAGCGAAATTTCAAAAAACCGACAATTTTCTGTATCACTATAGCAGTTGCGCCCTCTAGCGGTGAAGTTACAAACTTGAAAATATTTTAAATCAATTTCTTTTGGTCGTATTTGTTAATAGATTTATTTATCCCATAATAGGAGCACGTCTAGTTTCATATACATATACAGCTGGTCGATACCGCTAATGGATCACCCTGTATAGTATATTGTGTCACAAGGGCAGAAAATGAGTATTAGTAGCCCGCGGATATTAGCTGATAGGTAAGAGCTACTAATGCATTTTCTGCATGTGTGACACAAAACTGTTTTTCGCCTAGCATTAAACAAAACCAAAAGAAGGAAAAATATAACAAGATTCCAAATTTTAATTTAAATTGATCTATAGCAAATAGGCAACTAGCCATTTTTATAGATTTTATTACACAGTTTGTCTAAATATGAATTAATGCATAAGTAACAGACTTTCCCCTATTTTAACGCAGATTTTCTTGTTCAAAAGCAGAAAATTACAAATTTCTTTACAGCAAATAGTAATTTGAGTTTCAAATACTCCATTTTATAGAAAACCTGTGTTAACAATGGAGGAAAGTCTGTTATTTGTGCATTGATTCATATTTATATAAACTGTGTAATAAAATCTTTAAAAATGTATTGCAGGTTGCTTATTTGTTATTTGCCTCATAATGAAAAATTATCAATTGCATCAAAGTACGCAAATGATAAGTAAAGATGTCCAGATTGAAAAACTACAAAATCGTGTTGTTACAAGTTCAGTGGCCCAAGGGTCGATAAATATTACTTTCGGTCATATTTTTAAGGTCAATATGATTCATTTTCACATATGCTAGGCGAAAAATGTTTTATAGTGCTGTCTGATTTATTAAAATTTTTAAATATTCTACATTTTACTAAAATCTAGTGCATAACGATTATGTCTTAGACTCGGTTTTTCAATTGAAGATTAACCTGACACTTATTGTATACAGATTAATAAAGTATGAAATGAAACATGCATTGAATGAAAATAACTCAACTTTTAGAGAAAATTGTTGCTTTATGATATTAATATAAGAAAATAGAGTGGTGGTTAGATTTAAGTTAAGGAGGAAAACCACATTAGGAGGGTGATTTTCAGAAGTCCTTCATGAATTTTTTTGAGTGGGACAAATTGATTAGAAATTGATCAACCTTTGACATGATTTTACTAATATTTTATTTATTTTATCAGTATTTTGAACTATATTTACCAATTTTTTCGTCATTTGTGTCGAAAATGCCGAAGTTACGGCTGTTGCCATCCGAGTTGCTGAAAGTCGTCCGAGTTGGTTTTTCACGGGAAATGTGTGAAATTTTGATCCGAAAGCAAAATGATTATTGCATTATTAAGATATTTTCTAAGAATTTTTCATTTTCTTTCACTTATTTTGAATAAAAAACACCCTTAAAATTATATCATCCTAATTGTTGGTTCATGTTCTTTATCATTTCATAAAGAAACATACTTTCAATTTTTGAGCTAGAATTCCCGTGAATTAAAAAAATGTCGTTTCGAGAAAAAACGTGTTTGAAAATTTCCGAAAACTAGAAATTTGAGAAAGTTAAGAAAGTTAGTTTGAGTTAGTTATAATATAGAGTGCTTACCGATCGATCAGCGATACCAGCTCTATATAACAGTACTTCTTCTTCTTCAAGGGCATCATTCTGAGCTTGCATCTGTTTTTTCTTGCTTAATAAGTGACTACCTGAACAAGCGTTCGGTTTTAGGCTCAAAATTGAAATGAATAAGAATTTAATTTTGAAATTTTGGCAGCATATTCTTGAATAGTTATATTAACAATTTATGCAATAAAAAATCCCATTTTTGAACCTTCTAATGTGGTTTCCCTCTTTAAGCATTAACCGATTGAAACGCCGGGCTTTAGTGGTAAACAGCACATGTATAATGTAATTGAAGCTACTTATCCCCAAATATCATCTTTCTAGTATTACGAGGAGCTTTGAACGGACCACCCCCAGAGTTTTTACAATCTCTTATGCAAATGGCAGGTCACATTATAAATAGAAACGCGGCAGACGCAACCAATATGAGAGCACCGTCAACTGATGCCGCACAATCCACACAGCAACCAAATACTACGCAAGCCCCTCCTACTGTGGCCGGGCAGAATTCTCAGGCACGCGGAAACACCCAGACTAATCCCACTACCGCAACACATACCCGTTCTACGCCCCGTCCACATGTGCATTTAGCTCAGCAAGCTATGCAGGGCGGATTCGATCCTTTCCTTCCTTGCAACTCTCATCATATTTCAAGGCGTCGATTGTATCAAGCGAATGTGATGCCTGCATCAGCTCCAGCGGCTAACCAACAGAATTCGACGCAGAACAATGCCACCAGGCAGGAAACGCCGCCTGGCGGGCAAACTGCTCCTGGTCAAAATCAGAATATACTAAACTTTATTAACGGGATATTTGATTCGATTAGAACCGAATACAGGAGAGCTAATGAGTCTTCTGCTCAGAGTTCCAATGCCTCAAATACTTCTGAACCTAATGCGGGAAGAGAAAATGCCGGTCCTGCCGGTAATGCTGCTCCGAACTTGCCACCATTCGCCTCTTTATTTTCTGGCTTGCATGGCATGGTAAGTAACCATTTCAGTTTGTTTCTTCGATCACAAATTTTATTGGATCCAATATCAGTTTTTCTATCATTATTGAAAAATAAATAAACAGTTATTACCGTTTCTATTTCATTAAACTCTTTAATGTTACAAAGATATTGCCTAAAAATTGATATGTAGAAATGTGGACTGTCAATATAAAATTCTATACCGGAAAAGTAAAACACTAAAATTAATAAATACAGGGTGGCCCACTTTTTTGTAGTAGGACTTTAACAGGCGATAGNAGTGTGCCAAAAGTGAGCGCTATAGGTGCAATAGTTTTCGCACAATTCAATTTGTTCATAATGGGGGCTCCAAAAGTTATGAACTTTAAGCCTGTGTACAGGCGTTAATTTTCAACCAAACATGATTATGAAGGCGTCATTGTAATCTTAAAAACGTAATTAAGCGACCTATTAAAAAATATCACTGTTTTTTTGACATAACATTCTTAAATTGTGCATTAAAAAACCGTGCCTTTTTCGCTTATAAACAATTTGAATAAAATTGTTGCTATTTATGCTACCTCACCGAAAATAGATACAAAAAAAATACAAATTTAAAAAAAAGCACCCTCTACGACCAACAGGAGCCAAGATAAGAATTTTTTTTTTAAATCGTAGCCTAATTGTTTATAAACATTAAGACTTGATTTTTTTGCAAAATAAAGTTTATGACGTAAACTACGATTTCCCGTGACTTAACGACTCATGAGCCCTTTAAAGAGTAGTATAGGTACTCGCTAAGTAAATTGTCCGGCGGCCGGCAGCGTGGCAGTGGGGGAAGCTCGTCCAAGCGAGTCGCGCAAGGGAGAAAAATGAAATCCAAAGTTTAAGTTGATGTGCGCTGTAAAATTTTGCAATATCTCGGCTTCTATTCATCGTAGAAACTTCTTTTTTTTTTTTTAAATTGGAGTAGCTGGACGAAAAAATAACAATGGGCATATTTACGAATTCGTAGAATAGCCCTGAACTCCAGAAAAAATGCATATTTTATACTTAATTTTTTTTTTAATTTACAAATATGTCACAAAAATTATTGTTAAACGAAATAATTAAAATTTCAATTTCGGAATTATTTTACTATTATTAAATAAATAAATGAAGCTATCGTTCATTTAAAAAGTAATTTTTTTTACATATTAAGCCAAAGTAAACTTATTTTTTCAATATTTTGTTAGCTATTTAATTACGATTTAAATGTAAAATTAAAGTAAAAATTCACAAATTATTTTCAAATTATTATTTCTCATCAAATTAGAAAAAATTTTAAATTTTAAATTGTATAATATAATATAATACATATTGCATTATACCTATTACCTATTGAAAATGGTTGTGATTAATATTTTTTTAATTAATTTTGATTATGTTGCAAAGATTTATATGATAAAGAAGAAGAAAATGATATGAAAATCGTAGTTTACGTCGTAAACTTTATTTTGCGAAAAATTCAAGTCTTAATGTTTATAAACAATTGCGCTACGATTTAAAAAAAAATTCTTATCTTGGCTCCTGTTGGTCGTAGAGGCTACGTTTTTTTAAATTTGTATTTTTTTTGTATCTATTTTCGGTGAGGTAGCATAAATAGCAACAATTTTATTCAAATTGTTTATAAGCGAAAAACTCACGGTTTTTTAATGCACAATTTGAGAATCTTAATGTCAAAAAAACGGTGATATTTTTTAATAGGTCGCTTAATTAGGTTTTTAAGATTACAGTGACGCTTTCAAAATCATGTTTGGTTGAAAATTAACGCCTGTACAAAGACTTAAAGTTCATAACTTTTGGAGCCCCTGTTATAAACAAATTGAATTGTGCGAAAACTATTGCACCTACAGCGCCCACTTTTGGCACATTTTTAAAGTATGACAAAACTCTCAACTTGTCATAGGTTTTATAAAATTTTAACAATAAATGCGATAGTTATAAACAAATTAAAAAATGNGAGAATCGTATTTTAAGTAGAAAAGTTTATATCAATATAAGTCCGCAAAAGCTTCGATACGGACCTACAGGGTGTACAAAAGTGAAGAATTTTTTAATTTTTTCTTTCTAGCGCCTACAGTTTTTGAGATATTTTGTTCAAATTTTGGGGTTTAGTTATTTATTGGGGTTTACTTGGATAGGTATGCCAAATCATTGTGAAAGTCTACCGCGTGATCATTTTTTCAAGGTCGCGGCCCCTTTTCCACCCCCAAATTTTTTTGTGGTGCGCCACTGACCGTGTCCGTTAAAGGAAATCGTTTCCCAGTTCTGTTTAGAAACTTTTTTATCCCTTGTATTTTTTTCGTATCTGCACCCATTGTTAAAGAAAAAATTGAAAAACTAATATCTGTAATAGGTCAATTTAATGAGACTATTCTAAAATGCTACAGACTAAAAGCGTTAAATACATCAACAGGTAATTTTAGCTAATAAACTAACTATGACTAATGCTGAGTTCATTCATAAAGGGAGGTAATAACTAAAAATAGATAATTTAAGAATTATAAAAAAAGAGGAATTGAAATTTAGCAAATTGTGCAAATGATGAAACTCCTGACGTTGAGTTTAATGGACAGATTTTCTAATTCTAATTTTTAGTATTTTTTTACCAACTCAGCGTAATGATTTAAAACAACTGTTCGAAATGGGAACCATTTTGTTCGAAGCACAATTCGCAACTTCGCCTAATAGATTGTTGTTCTGCGGCAATAAAATTACCGTTTCTCATTTCATCGCAGGCATTTTGGATGCGGTCAATAAGCTTTTCTTTTGTATGCACAGGAACCATATAAACTTTATCTTTTACATAACCCCAGACGAAAAAATCCAATGGTGTTAGATCGGGGGAACGTGGAGGCCAAGAAATCGGCCCTCCACGTCCTATCCACCTTTGTGGGAAATTATAATCCAACCACCCCCTTACATTTCGATGAAAGTGGGTGGGACAACCGTCAAGTTGAAACCAAGCATTTAATCTCAAATTCAATGGAACTTCTTCCCACATATTTCCATGTTCAGTTATTAAAAATTCCAAAAAATTATCACCATTTACGCGTTGTGGCAAGAAATAAGGACCAAACAGATAATTACTAAAAACTCTTATCCAAATATTAACACTGAATTCTACTTGAAAGTTTCTCGGACGAATTGCGTGCGGATTTTCATGTGCCCACACATGCTGGTTGTGGAAATTGACGACACCCTGGCGAGTAAAACACGACTTGTCGGTCCACAATATGTGACTTAAAAAATGTTCATTCTGTTCGATGGAATTCAAAACCCACTTGCAAAACACCAATCTTCTTTCTTCGTCGCCTTCATGCAAACCTTGCATAGGTTGCAAATGGTAAGGACGTCTGTGATCTTTTTTTAGAACTCGAAGAACTTTGTTCTTTGATATGAGAAGGATGCGAGAAACTCTTCGACTACTTGTGGTTGGCTCCCTATTGAACTCACGAAGAATTTGGTTGTTGACTCTTTCTTGCCGGATATTAATTCTGTTTTGCCTTTCGTCGGGTCTTGCAGTTCTAAGACCGTGAGTGCTAAATTGTCGATGAATGTTAATAAAAACTGAATAATGCGGTTGACGTCTATGCGGAAATCTTCTCCTGTACTTTCTAACTGCTTCTGCCGAGTTCCTGTCTGCAAATCTGTAACAGAAATGGATGTCTGCTTGTTCTTGATTTGTGAATAAAAAAGGCATTTTAATATCAGGAATAACGAACGCTATTATCACCACTTTAACACCTCGTTTTCAGTGCCCACCTAATTTTATTTCTTACAACAATTGCAATTTGGAGGATGATCTGTCAAAATGAACTGTAAACAAAGTGTGTTTCTAAGTTACAGACACAGCCTACTGTGGCATTTTAGAATAGCCTCATTAAATTGACCTATTACAGATATTAATTTTTCAATTTTTTCTTTAAAAATGAGTGCAGATACGAAAAAAATACAAGGGATAAAAAAGTTTCTAAACAGAACTGGGAAACGATTTCCTTTAACGGACACGGTCAGTGGCGCACCACGAAAAAATTAGGGGGTGGAAAAGGGGCCGCGACCTTGAAAAAATTATCACGCGGTAGACTTTCACAATGATTTGGCATACCTATCCAAGTAAACCCCAATAAATAATTAAACCCCAAAATTTGAACAAAATATCTCAAAAACTGTAGGCGCTAGAAAGAAAAAATTAAAAAATTCTTCACTTTTGTACGCCCTGTAGGTCCGTATCGATGCTTTTGCGGACTTATATTGATATAAACTTTTCTACTTAAAATACGATTCTCTATCGCCTTTAAAGTCCTACTACAAAAAAGGGGGCACCCTGTATATATGGGACGATCCATGTCAAATCGATCAAGCCTGTGTCCAAAATTTGAGAGCACCTACGAAGATGGTTTTCGGCTTAAAAAATTCGTCTTTCCAAGTACGTTAAGATGCTAATTGGCTGAATTGAAAAATTCAAGATTGCGGACATATGGCGCCTAGTAGTATCGAATCGTCACTATTTCACATTTTAGTGACCATAGAAACATGAAAATTGTCTATTCTTTTAGTTTAGTTAGCTAGGTATATCGACAAAAAATCGAGATTTCTCAAATATTTTTGAGGTTAGAATCAGTGTATATGATACCATAAAAAAACTCATTATATTTCAGCAACCCCAAAATCATAAAAATTGTCTATTCTTTTGAGGTTTAGCTCGCTATATCAACGAAAAATCAAGATTTTTTATATATTTTTGAGGTTAGAATTGATATATGATATTATACCATCAAACAAACTCTACGTCACGTTCCAGTGACCTGAAAAACATGAGAAATATCTGTTCAGATAAGGTTTATGGGTGAAATCGACAGTTCACTTCCCTTCGAATGACGATTTCAGGCTTTTTAGCCTGACAAGTCACTATATGAAATTCGCCATCTTGAATTTTTGAAAAATAACTCCATACTCATGTCCAACGATGTTAAGGGCACCAATTCAGAC